GCAGTCATCTGATGTCTTTATAGCAGAACACTGTCCAAGGCAAGAGGCATCACCTGTTTTTCATGCGTGGGGAAACTGAGGCATGGGCTGGCAAAGGTGTTTGCCCAAGGTCAGACACAGAGCAGCTATCGAGGAGGACCCAGGCCTCTGGAGCACATTGCTGCCACCTTCAAAGCAAGCTCCTGATCTCTGGGTTGCTTATTTGAATTTATTTATTTGTTGTGAGGTGCCTGGGCTGCATCCAGGCCTGCTGCAGCTGGGTTGACCAGTGGCTGAAGCTGGTCTCTCCAAGAGCGTTGGGGACAGGCTGAGAGTCCCTGTATGGGCTTCCTTGGTGAATGTCTGTGTGGCACTGGAGCACCTCATCTTGGACAGGACCCTCAAGCTCCAGGGCATGTTACAGCCTCTCCACGGGCTGCTGGCAAGCCCCAGGGCAATGGTGGAGCCATTTGGCAGGGTCAGGGTCAGCGTGCAGCCAGAGCTGGGAGCTGTGCTGGGGCAGGCATGGCGTGAGTGTGGTAGCCGTGGAAGAGCAAAGCCAGTGGCCATGAGGTGAGAGGTGGGGATCTCTGGAGGGGTGAGAGCTTCCCCTCCCCGTCATGGTGTGCCTCCCTGGTGTGGAGGGTGACCCCATAGTCAACAGGTCTTTTCACAGGACTAGAAAGTTTTCCCTGAGAGCAAAGAGGTGTGGAGGGGAACTGGGCAGCCCCTTGCCGGAGGAAGGTCTCTAACACGACCACGTGCTCAGCGGATGTAATTCCCAACCCCAGGCCTCCTCTTAGGCTGTTGGGAATGGCCACGAGCACCCTCATGTGCTGCCATATGCCCACCACCAAAACAGAACCAGGGAATAAATGCAGCAAGGAGAGGGGACACAGAGTTGCCTGCAATTCGGAGGCGCTGGGAGTGTGAGAGCAGACCGATCTGGCAGCTGGGGGTGCCCAGCTGCCCCTTCCCTTTTCCCATGACCTTGATCAAATCACTTCACCGGTCCCAGCTTCCCCTTCCCTCTGCACCATCCTGCTCTGCTTGTCCACTTTTCTCTGCTCCTGCCCTGCACAGCCTCCAGGGTTGGCTTGTTCTGCCTTGGTCCTTGCCTCGTTTCCCCATGTCTCTTCCCAGAACTGAGCTGGGCAGCTCACAGATTTGACCATGGGTCATCCCACCTGGAGAGGGGATGGTTCACCACCAGCAGCCCTGACTCCAGGGCCTGGGAATGGACAAGCCTCTTCAGAGAAGGCGAGAACCATCCTGAACTTTACAGACAGCCCAAACCCATTAACAAGCTGGGAAAAGTCCAATTAACTTTTATTATAAGATGGCAATGCTCTTGATTTCTGTGGCCTCCTGCAGCTTCTGATTTTGGCCAGACCTGGAGGAGCCGCCGTTCCCCTGGGCATTGCTGGTTATGCTGGAGGAACCCTCCCAGGAGAGCCTGACCTTGCAGCCATGGAAGGATTTGGGGAACCTTGGGATCTCTTAATTGCCAGAGTAAATGGCTCCTTCCCACTAATGGACACAGCTCTAAACCTGGCTTGTCCCCGCCGCGAGTGGGCCGTGAGTCGCTGTAGAGAGAGGAGGGGAGACTTGACTCCTGCAAACGCCGTGGAGCATCTGAAGTCGGGCACGCTTGTCTGCCCCTCCAGACCCGCGCCTTCGGCAGGGGGACCTGTGCCCCGGGCTGGCAGCTGCCCGGCTGTTCCCAAAAGGGCTGCTCTGATCTCTGCCCGTGCCAGCCCTTTTCTCTGCCCTGCTCGGTTCATCAAAGCCTGCTGGTTTCCTTCCCTTCGTAGGGGAGGGAAGAGCTTCCCCTCCTTGACAGGCTCCATCCCCCGTGGCTCCCCGGTGTGAGCTGAGCAGAGGCTGAGTAGGGATCTTTGCCCTTCATTGGGGCAGGTTGTAAACCCATCTCGCACCAGCAGCACCCGCTGCTTGCTGCCCTGTAACGGGCTTCAGCCACATTGGAGCCACCAGGCCAGCCCTCCCTGAGAAGGTCATGCTGCTTGGATCGTGTCACTTCTGTTCCCAAGCCCAGTTTCAGGGTCCTGCAGGCTCCCTTTATTCACGAAGCAGATGCTTTGTGGCGTGCAGACCAGCAGAAGCGGGATCAGTCTCCATCCGTTCAGGTCAACACTGAGTTTCCTGCCTCCAGGAAGCCAAATTATCTTTTTCTGCTGGGATCAAACACCACAATCCCTGTCCAGACTGACCAATGGGACAGGAAATTCCCAGCCCTTCGCTGACAGCATCCCTGTCTGCACGCAAGGGTGGGAGCCCAAGGGACCGGAGCGATCCTGCCTCTGTTGTGGTGACACCAACAGCTCCTGAGCAAGCACCAGAGCTTCCTGGAGCTCTTGGTCCTCGGTGGAACTGACACCCAGAAAATGCAAACCGCAAAGTGTCCTCATGGGTGGAGAAGAGGATCTGTCACTTGGGAGAGGTGTTTTAGCCCAGTCATGTCTCTTCCCCGACTTCACCTCCTGTCTTCCTCCTTCCAGGCAGGAGGTGGCACCTCTCTGGGGCCTGTGTGTTGGTGTCCTCCATGTGCTGTGAAACATCTTTTCTTTCAGCTTTGCTGAGATTCCTCAATTGTTTTGTTACCCCCAGAGGGCTCGTTTTTAGGGGGCCGTCTCCAGCCATTTTAATTGTGAGGCTTAAGGCTCTGCTGCTGCAATTGGCAGTCAAGCATCCGGATTCCTCTGGTGACTTTGGAACATTTTGGCTCCGTTTTTCCCTGATGAGCGCTCGTATGCAGCAGACACGAGAGTCAGTCAGCCAGAGGGGGAGTCCTGCAGGACCCCAGGTGCTCTTAGCTCTGCTCCTCGCAATGGCAGAGCTTGGAGATGTTGGCTGGGGACCTGCGCTGGGGTTAGGGTGCGGGCAGATACCTGACCCATGGCGCTGTGGGGCTGGCAGTGTCACATCGGGGGAGGCAGGACAGGAGAGTTGACCTCTGGCTGGCGCCTGGAGCCATCTGTGTGTGTTGGGAGGAGGGGAAGGGGGAGCATCACCCAAAGTCCCGCACACAAGTCTTAAATACAGCGGAGCCACGTGGCCGGAGCCGTTCCCTGCCAGGCTGGGGTGGAGGGTTCCCTCTGCTGTGGTGCAGTAATTAGAAGCCGTTGAGTTCGTTAACTGGCAGCTCCAGAAAGGCTGGCGATGCTTCTAAGGACTTCCCTACTGAGGAGGGCAGCCGGGCGTACTCGTGAGCTGGGAACAGGCTCCTTCCAGGGGGACGAGCAGGACTGTGACCGAGGGGGGCTGTCCCCAGAGCCAGGCGTGTTGGGGAGCAGAGGGTGTGAGCAGGGCTGGCGGGTCTGGTGCTGCGAGAGTGGGACTGAGCCCGTGGAAGAGACCTGTTCCTGGCTCCCCGCTCCGGTGGTGCTCGGTGGAGAGAACAGGTTTATAACTCTCGAACAGATGGTCCTGCGTGGTGACTAATGGATGGTTTTCCGCCTGTCTCGGGCCGCCTGTGACGCCTGTCTGGGTGGAACGGGGCTCAACTGATCCTCACTGACGCCAGCCCTGTGGAGGTTAAGTGGTGGCTTGGCCCCGTCCTGGGTAGCCATGGTTTGCAGGCTGTGCCACCCCAACATAGGTAGTTCAGGGACACCAGAGCAGGCAGATCTTGCCACATTCTTTCCAGCCTTTGCATGATGGGGTTTCTCCTGGCCGTGACCTTCCCAGCAGCCACGTCCATGGGGAAGCTTGTGCAGGGGGCTGATTCCGTCCCGCTGTCCTTGTGAGCCATCTGCCTGTCCTTGGGAGATGCCGCTGCCCAGGAGTAGCCCCCAATGCCCCTCGCTGCCTCCCGCAGTGCCTGGAGCAGCGGCTCTGGGCAGGCAGGGTTTTGAGGGCGTTGTGAGAGAGAGTCCTGGCTGGAGCAGGCAGCTGCTTCGCTGCCTTTCAGCGAATGCTTTCCCATGAGCATGGCTCTCACAGGTATCCAAACTTCCCAACTCTCTGCTCTCCCCAAGGCTGACTCGGTTCTGCTCATCAGCCAGCCTGGCAGAGGTAACGAAGCGTAATTAACAGCTCCCTTTACACATCCGCTTGGCTCGGCAGGAGGGTTTGTTAAAGGGATTGCTAGAGAAGCTGGCAGTCGCAGCACCTGCTCCAGCCCAGTGTGGGAAGCCAGGGCCCTGGGAAGGGAGCGTGGGCAGGGCATCATTCAATGCCTGCAGTGCTTTTAGCCCCAGAGAGCCCAGCTGTAGCCACCTGGGACCGTGGCTCCCAGACGGATCTGCTGGGCTTGGACTCACAGTGTGATCATGGCAGGGGTGAGCTGATCCATTTGCCTCCCAGTAGAATAACCTCTGCCAGCCAGAGCAGCCCTGTGCTCATCTCCTCCATCCAGGGGCAGGGCATCATTCAATGCCTGCAGTGCTTTTAGCCCCAGAGAGCCCAGCTGTAGCCACCTGGGACCGTGGCTCCCAGACGGATCTGCTGGGCTTGGACTCACAGTGTGATCATGGCAGGGGTGAGCTGATCCATTTGCCTCCCAGTAGAATAACCTCTGCCAGCCAGAGCAGCCCTGTGCTCATCTCCTCCATCCAGGGATGCTCTTGCCCACACAGGACTCCGGAGGGTGGCTGGTGCAGATACAACCGACCTTGGCCATTTAGTCTTGCAGCAAGCCCAGCAACAGAGAGCAAGACCTTCTTTGTGTTTCTGGGGTGCCGTGATGAGGGGGTCTGCAAATCGAGGTCTCTCTTGCTGGCATATAGGGGGCTGTCCCCATGAGGGGGGGCATAGGACCATGCAGGGAGGTGCTGGGGGTTCTTAACCTGGCATTTTAGGTGGTGGAGGGGTGGTGTAACGTTCTTTGCTGCACAGCGGCTGCTCAGATTGCCTGCCGTGTTGCAGCACTGAGCTCCATGGGCGCTGGGAGCACTGAGCTCTGGGAACAGGGATGCTCTGGGAAGTGTGTTGGCAGAGCCAGAGGGGAGCAGGCCCGCGTTAACGCTCTCTGTCCTCTCTTCTGCATCCACCTGGAACAGGAGCGGCAGAAAAAAGCCAAGTTGCCCGAGAGCAGCGATGGCTCCAAGGACTCGGACAGCTCTGCCGGGCGCCGGGGCAGCGCCAGCCGGAAGCACGGGCGCTGGCGGGGACGGC